TTCTGCAATTTCAAGTGAGTCTCAGGACACTTTGCTGCTCAAATGCAGTTTAGTTTCATGCAAATTTCAAGCAACTAAAGTAGCATTAAAGTTTCACCATGAAAAGCTAGCATAATGCAGTGTAAAATGAAACATGGATATTTTAGGTAGTCACACAGTTTCAAGTAGAATGTCCTTTTGGTCATCTTCTCATGTTTTCTCTATCACACACTGGAGCTTTCTCACAAACACACAAATCTCACGTCTCCTGCTCACACACACAACGCTGCTTGCACAAATTGGGCCCTTGAACACTCGCCTTAAGGGCTGCAACAAAAGCAGGCTGATCGATCCGTTCAGCAGAGCTGTAGGAGTGTGCGTGTGTGTGTTTTGACACTGTCCCGGTGGAGTGAAGGCTCTGAGAGTGCTGTGGCTTTGCCTCCAGTCGTGCCCCAGGCTCTGTAATTCTAGTGTCACTTAATTGGCCCATGAAACACTTTTACAGTGTACAGGCTCTCTGGTCAGACCCGGCGAATGGATTGTGGATCACACACTCAGTGGGTTAATGACAGTCTGGGCCAGCAGAGGGCTCTGTTGAATAGAGCAGGACTAGTGTGGACTGCCCAGGTGGGGCGGGGTGACCTGCGTTAGATTATAATGACTAGCTCACAGTCTCAGCACCAACAACACACACACTCTTTCACGCTATAACACTCTCTCACACTCTCTCTCCTGCTTACACACATCTCGTATTCACATACACACACTGTGTCCCACTATAGCACATACAGTACTGTGCAAAAGACTCCACCTTGCATTTATTTAATTTGCAGTCAAAAGGGCCACTAAGTACGTTATTCATTCTTCTCCATCAGATTTAAAGCTTTCACCTTTGAGAGAGAGAAGACAATCAAGTTCCACACTTGCTTCAAATCTTAAAAAATCGATGTGTGTCTGTCCATCTTTCCTCTGTGAGAAGAAAAGATGCATAGCTGTCAAGAAGTAAATAGACAAAAAAAAAAGAAAATTGGCACATCAAACAAAGAAGCTGCTGGTGTTCTCAGAACAATGTACTGACCACCCCAGAGCCTCGACTTCAACATCATTGGAAGCGTTTAGAAATATTTGAATCTTCAGAAAAAAGAAATTTAGCCAACTTCTAAGACTGAAGATATTCCTGCAGATTGCTTTGAAAAACTAAAAGCAAGTCTCCTAAAAATGTAAAAAATGAACATTCTAGAAACTGAAAATTACAAAGAAGCCTCAACAACTAATATAATATTTAAGTTTTCTGTAAGATACTTTCCTGGTTTTCCCTGATGCTGGGAACTTATACTTAATGGCCATTTTAACTGGAAATAAAATTTATTAAATGACTTTTGCACCATACATTATATGTTCATTATATGGTAAAATTCTGAAAATAAAAGAGCTTCAGTGAACATACAAGACAATGGCTATATTGTTGCTGTAATCTACCAATTTTCAGTAAAACACCTTTTATTATACTTTATTAATGTTTCATACGTTGGATGAACATCTAACAGCAACGCATGTGGATTTTTTATTGTTATTAATTTTTATACATTTATTCACTATGAAGTTTTTTTTATTGTATTGTGTTATATGTCGGTCCAGATTGAAAATTACACTGAGAAAGGCGATTAAGACGCATGCTAACTCTGTTACCACAGCTACTGTTACTAGCATTTCAGCCACTACCCCTTGGAACTCAGTTCCAAGGGGCAAGGTGACCCTCAAAAGTTAGGGATAGGGGTAAAAATAAGAAATAGGATATTGGGCCTTAGTTTGCCGATATGAGACATGATAAATCCACTAAATTAAGTTGAAAGTTTTATTCAATTAAATCTATGTGAGCGGAGTGTAAAAGTAACTTAAGCTTTTTTGAGTTTTGACACATTTCTGCGACAATTCCTATGTGCTGTAGCTGCGCTTTGTACTATTTGCTGCACACATGGCTCTTCTCACCCTGTGTGAGGTAGTCATGTGCTGCTCCTCCAAAGTTTCTGCTTATGACTCCAGAGGTCAGAGATAGATGCGCTGGCAACAATGCTTTTTTGTTTACGTTTTGTTTTTCTGTCATTAAAGAGAGTGTTTATTTTGCATTACTGCAACAAAGTGATAAGCAGAGGATGCTTATAAGTGTCAGTGATATTAGTCTGCAGTGTTCATGTGTGGCTGCTGAATAACTCAAATACAACCACTCTACAATACAACAGCCAGCAGCTTCACATTGCTTTTTTTCAGAGTTTGCAAATAGTACATACGACATTATGATATTTCTGAGACGATTTGAGCAGCATTACATGTAGAGTCAGATGTGCACACTGGACACCCCTGCATTAGAGAGAAGCTGAATTGCTTTTTTTAATAATTTGTTGTTTGACTTTTTTTTTTGTTTCTTTTATGACTATTCAGAAAGTCTGACTCATGCCTATTGTGTGTCACTGTGTTACTGTTTTATGTGAGTTATAATGCAGTAATGCTGCTGTGGCAGGCTTTTAATGCAGTCAGCACAGAGGCTGTTATATCCCAGCATGCCTTTCCCATGGGACGCTAGTGCTGCAGCTTTCCCTAATGAGCAAGGGACACGGACGTAAACACACACACACATACTAATATTCTCTCCTCTTTTTGGCTCTTGTATAAGGGATATTCACATCTTTCTGTCTCTTGTTCTTTAGTACTGGTCAAAGGTTTGGACCCACCTCATAGAAAATATATTGTATAATCATTTGGCCTAAAGGTTTATGCTTAAAAGCTTGCAATATGTTTTGAAGACAAATACAAACAGCATGGTTGATGCCTGGGTGAACACTACATGACCTTTTAAATCCTAATTTTGACACTGGAGAAAATCACTCAACGTCAGTCTTTTACAGAGCATCTTGTAAATGATAACATCTTGCTGTTATCACGTGATATAAACAAAGCGAAAGTAGACCAGACCTGTTTTTTCTGTCATCCACGCAGAAGAAGCATAGCAAGTACAGTTTTTCTGTACTTTTTTCACCTCTGAATATCTGCTATAGGCCTGAAGGACATTGCATTTATTCCTGCTGGCCTTTCGACAGGGCCTGAGTCCACAGTACTGCTTTTTGGGCCTTTATAAACCTCCACTGTGAGGAAAAGTAGAGTATGTTAGTTTGTGTCTTGCAGAAAGGAAAGTTTGAATATTTATGGATGGATCCTTTGATCACAAGTTCTGATTAGCATAAAGTCCTTGTGTTGGTTTTGAGCAGCAGAGCAGTAAACTGCAGCCGCTGCACAAAGGTTAACACACATACACACACACACCTTATCAAATGTATCACGTACACTCTCTCACAAACATACAGTTGTGCACCCAAAATCTGACACAACCCCTCTTTTTCAAGGCTGGCACACATTGTGCAATTTTAGAAATCTTGTTCTTTGGTCACTCACACTGTACATTTGAATAGAACATCACGTATGGACAAAAAATTTAATTGTTCACACTGTATGAAAACGCTGGGTCTCATTGACATGCTACAGTGTGGGTGAAACACCTACAGACAGCTCTGTCTATGGACAGTTTCCAGTATACCTATTCCATTCAAAATAACAAGCTGGGCGCCTGAATACCGAATGTTTAGAATCTGAGCTACAGCAGCTTTACTAAATTGTGCCACACTATGCGCTGAAACTAAAACCAGGGGCTGATGTACATAGATAGGACAACACAGTCTCTCTACAGCCTGTTTTACAAGTACATTAAAAAAAAAAAAAAAATGCTGCAAAGTTAGCATTCGCAGACTTTGTTACTGTAAATGTTGACTTTTTGCCTCATTTTTGGTTTGCATGTGATTTCGAGAAATCAGTTTGTGATTTTTGAAACTGTAAGAAAACAAACAATCAACTCAGTCTGAGCTCATTGGGCAGTTCATCAGGCTTTGCTACATCCCCCACACAGCACATCAAACAGTGAAGCTGAAAATCAGCCCTGAAGTTTAGTTGTGGGTAAATCTCTTAAGTCAAGCTACCACAGCTAGCAGCGTAGACTGCAATTCCAATTCGGCTTGATAGCAACATTTAAAAAGCTCAAGCTGGTGAATTTTCTGCTTAGCCTATCAATCAGATGTTTACCCATAAAAATATAGATTTAATACCAAAATGACCTTTGACACAAATACAAAATAAATATGGTTTGAAATTAATAAATCATTCTGTAGGTATTGTGATTAAGACTGAGTTGTGTGCAGTTTCTCAGTAGGTTTAATTGAATTTTTTCTGACATTCTGTAAAATTTGTCCAACTTCCCAACAGAAGCTACAAAAGAAGATTTTTGTGACCAGAGTGTGGATAGGACAATTAAAGGACTTTAAAAGAGATGTATTTTACATATTGAACTTTTTAAGTTTGTTAACAGTGTTGCTTAATACAGAAACCCTGTATTTTACTTTGATAAATAATCATTTCTACCTGTGCCCTACTGGGAATTTCAGTGTGTGAGCAAAGAGCTAACAGTGGTATTTATTTACAGTTTATAGTAGCTCTCTAGATTAAACACATACATTGGAAGCTTGCAACAGACATTAAGGTAAGATATTCTTCAGTTTAGATCTTACAATTTAGATACCTTTCATTAAAGATTTAAACATTTAAATGCTGACTCTGAATGTTATTCGAACCTGTAAGCTGTTAACTTTACACTGTGCATGTGAAACTGCAGTGACGGTGGATTGTGAAGTGCGATGGTTATGTTGTGGGTGGGGGTGGGGCCGGGGTGGGAGAATACACCAAACCGACAGTCTTCACATTTGAGAAAGTGACAAGTGACAGACATGTGAGTACATGGCAAGGACTATGCAGTTTTGTTTACTGTCTCCTTTAACATGCTCAGGTAAGAACTGTCATTAAAGCCACGACACCTGAGATGCTGCTGTAGAAAAAAAAAGCATAGGGGAAATGTCTACAGTACTTTTCTCTTAATCTCTCTCTTTCTCTCTCTGTCTCTCTCTCTCTCACTCACTCTGTAGGTTCCCTCTGCTGCTCAGTTGGTGGAAACTGTGTTGGAGAAGCTAAAAGAGTTCAGATTACTGACGGAGGAACTGGCCGTGTTCACTACATCTGTCAGCGAAAATGCCTGACCGCAACAGAGGGGAAAAAATGGCCAGCCGGAGCCTGTTGTCCTCCTTTAGGATTGCCATCTCTCCTCTTTCCTCTCCTCTCCTCTCTTCTCTCCTCTCTACTCCAAAGCAATTGTTCCCCCTATCAGGATGTCAGGAGGACATTTTTCTGGTGTCTGAAGTGCTTCTTCATGTTTGCGCTGGTGCTACAAGGCTAATACAGCTAAGAAGTTATAAAAGCTTACACGCCACCAATTAGCATGGTGCAAACTGCCTGTCTAAATCACACACTCCTTTTAAATTGTATTGAGTTTTTAGTAATTTCAAACTGACTTCCCTGTGTGGTTTCTGACACTGCTTGGCACACAGTTATCTATAAACATGGACAGAAATAGTTTAAAACAGTACTAGCAACCATTGGACCTTTGTTCATTATTATAGATACAGTTTGTATGATACAGTTTGAAGCAAGTGTGTGATGATGCTGTTTGCACAGTGCTAATTGGTGAGGTGTGAACTTCCATTACTCATTAGCATTACTATTACCCTCCAGTGTAAAACTAAATGTAAGGATAAAAAAATCAATTCAGTGATCAATTTGAGGTGAGGGTGGAAACTGGGTGAATGTGATATTTCGCTTAAATATTGCTGTGAGCTGTCGTGTCTAATTCTGTGAGAGTAATTATTAATATTTTATGCATTTAGTTCAAAATGGGAAATTGAAATCATACAGGCCTTAAAATCAGACATTAAGTTATAAAATACTAAAGTAAAAAGCTTAGAACACTCTTTGTTTTCTGTCCAGCTGTTGATTAGCTGTGTTGTGAGTTCTGTTGATCACGACAAGACGCACCAGAATTGCAGTTTAGAATGATTTGGAACCACAGAGTGCCAGACTGAGACTCAGTCAGATTGAGTTGTAAGTTTGAGTGTAAGTGTGTGTGTTTAAGGTCACTGTGAGATGTGTTGTCTAATGAGTTTGAGTTTCTTAACTCTTTTGACTATAGTCAGAAATCATGCTTCTTTTTTATTGTATTTGTGGTTAAATTAAAACAGTTTCATAAATGTTTCTGTACAGTTTCTTCCTTTATGCCAAAATACATATATACTTTTTTAGCAATTTATTTTTACAAATGATTGAAGATAAGGGTTCTTGCTGTCGCACATCTAGCTGTTTAGCAGTAACTGTGATGGTAACGGCGTTAGGGATGTGGACTTATGCAAGGGTGATGTAATTTACATAGTCTAACAAGCCAGACTTCTGTCTCTGACTCTGATAGGTTTCATTGATCAACGTGGCCAAAAACCACCTGCTTTGAAAGGAAAGGCCATTTGACTGAAATGCAGACCAATCAATCACAGACCATTGTTTTTATATGATGTTTAGGGGCAGGTTATTTAGAAAACATGCACGATATTTTGTTTAGATAAAGCTACAAACTGCTTAAAATGAAATAAATAAATTTTAAGGAGAAGATACTAAATGTGGGCAGCGCCTGCGCCTCACTACTGAGGGATCATCCTTGTCTGTGTGTGCAGAGTGGGAAAAATGCTTTATAGTGGTCACTGACTAGCATTTAGCTTGTTAACCAAAGGTTTGTTTCCTGTCAGACTCCTAAAAACCATTGCAGAGGAATGTGTACTAATAGTTGTGGCCATTTTAGCACACAACAAATGTTAGACCGTCTCTAATGTTCTGCACAGCAGTCAAAGTTACATATCTTATTTGCACAGTGCAGAATTATGGCACCCATGGCAAAATGAGTGCAAATTGCTCTAGAAAAAATGCCTTTGTAAATGATCACCTTTTAAGCAAATCTGGATCTTTAGGAACTCCAGAAAACGATGCTTCACTACAGTATAAAGATGAGAATTTAGGACACCCTTAGTTATTCATCGACATGGAGAAGATGCAAGAATTCACAAATGAAACAGGTAAAAATGTTATTGACCATTAAAAATAAAGCTAATGGCTAATGAAGAACAGTTCACCCCTGAAAATACCTTTTTCAACTATCTGGAATGTGATGAAGTTGCCTGGAACACAAGATTTACTATATACACTTTCTATATACACTACATTTAGACACCACGTCATGCCATCATTCTTTGAAAAGCTGGTCAGGAGAAAGTTTCTGCTATTATCAAACCACAAACAAGAACCTGGAGCTCGTTCAACATCACTGCAGCTGAAGACTTGGTTTCTGTGGTCAGATGAAGCAGGAAGAAATGAGACAGTCATGCAGAAAATCTTCTTGGTAAAGTACAGTAGTTGATATTTGATATTATGGAATCCTTTTAATTCTGAAGGCCCTATGAACCTTATTAGGATGCATGACATCAGGGAGTCTATCAAGTGATCAAAATCTTGCTTCATCTGCTTGTTGAGTGGTGTTTGTGATGCGGAAGTAATCTACTGACATCGGTACCTGACCTCACCAATGCTCTTGTGACTGAATGCAGTCAAATCCTCACAGTAATGTTCCACCATCTAGTGTAAAAGCCTTACCAGAAGAGTAGAGGCTGTGACTTTTTCATGAGTACCAATAATTGTGAAGGGTGTTGTAGCTGTTCTTTTAACAGATAAAAGTGTTCCTCTGCTAATAACGAACACTTCGGAGTTGCAAACATCTTTTCATATTTCAACATCTTCAGGGAAACCTGGAGGCATTTTTATTCTGCTGATATTAATTTCAAATTTTTGAAACAATTATCTACATGCCTGGTGACCTTGGGTTTTTTGTTACATGAGCCTGTGTTGTTTTTTTCTTCTTTCCTTCTAATTATATTTTATTTATTTGTGTTTCTCTCACCTTCTCTCCCCCTCACACAAAGACTTTCTTTTTTTTCTCTTTTTCTGTACAATTAAAAACCTGATGTAGAATCATCCAGTCAGGAATTAACGAGAATAATTCGACTTTTTAATCTGGTCAGATTTATGCTAATGATGTCGTTTTCCTTTATCTTTTTTTATAATAAGGGATTAAGCTCAGGACTGAGTCTCTGCAACCCGGGGACCAATTTATCCAAGACGCGCCGTGCGCACTAATTACCTTCATTAACACAGCGTGCATCTTTACTTGCTCCTTCTGAAGCCCCACCAGCGCCGCACTGTCAATATTTGTCCCGTGTGTGTGTGAGAGAGAGAGAGAGAGAGAGAGTGTGTGGGTATGGGTTTGTGTGAGAGAGAGTGTGTGTGCTGCTGGGTCCCAGAGTGTGAGAGGCATCGCACGACAAAAGTTCACAAGTAGGGAGAATGGAAAGGGAGAGAGTGAAATGAAAGAGTGAAGAAGGGAGGAAATTAGAAAATGAATGAGTGAGGAAGGAAACTAATGAGTGAAGGAGGAAACAAGGGAATCATTGAGTGTGGGAATGAGAGAGCGAGGGAGGGAGAAAATGAGGAGGCAGTGAGGAAAAGAATCTGAGAATGAATAAGTGAAGAAGGAAATGAGGGAAAGAATCAGAGAATGAATGAGGGAGGAAATAAGGGAATACATGAGTGAGAAAAAGAAAAAGGGAATGAATGGGTGACAGATTGCATCAGAGAATATGAGGGGTAAGAACGAATGAAAGAGGGAAGGAGGGAGGAAAGCTGCTGAGAATAGTGCACCATGCAGATACTGTCTGGTGAACAGTGGTCCTGTGGTCAGAAACTGGACAATAATGCATGGGGTGGAGAGGTCAACAGCAACAGATGGACTACAGTCTGTAACTGTACACCTACATAGTGGATTTATAAGGTAGGGGTTTCCAATAAAGTGGCCAGTAAGTGGAGGTTCAAGGTAGGGGTTTCTAATGAAGTGGCCAGTGAGTGGAAGTTCAAGATAGGTGTTTCTAATAAAGTGGCCAGTGAGTGGAAGTTCAAAGTAGGGGTTTCTAATAAAGTGGCCAGTGAGTGGACGTTCAAGGTAGGGGTTTCTAATAAAGTGGCCAGTGAGTAGAAGTTCAAGGTAGGGGTTTCTAATAAAGTGGCCAGTGAGTGGAAGTTCAAAGTAGGGGTTTCTAATGAAGTGGCCAGTGAGTGGAAGTTCAAGATAGGTGTTTATAATAAAGTGGCCAGTGAGTGGAAGTTCAAAGTAGGGGTTTCTAATAAAGTGGCCAGTGAGTGGAAGTTCAAAGTAGGTGTTTCAATTAAAGTGGCCAGTGAGTGGAAGTTCAAGGTAGGTGTTTCAATTAAAGTGGCCAGTGAGTGGAAGTTCAAGGTAGGCGTTTCAATTAAAGTGGCCAGTGAGTGAAAGTTCAAAGTAGGGGTTTCTAATAAAGTGGCCAGTGAGTGGAAGTTCAAAGTAGGTGTTTCAATTAAAGTGGCCAGTGAGTGGAAGTTCAAGGTAGGTGTTTCAATTAAAGTGGCCAGTGAGTGGAAGTAAGGCAAATGATGTGGAAACAATGTCTACAAAGCTACAAGAAGTTCAACAATTAACAAGTTGGAACCATAATCATTATGAAATATTTGTTGTTATGGATGAGTACAGTACTCAAACATACAGCTTTATGAATGCAGCACTTACAATAAGAGAGCCTGCACTCTAACATAAACACATACACCTCACTTATGTTCACTGTTCATAGACCCCCCACAAAACACACCAACACATAAAAGCTGACTCTCTGTTCTAATTAGCCTTTGCTGATCGGGCCTCCACACCTCTCTAGCACCCTGAATGATATTGTTCTCCCACAGTGACGTCCTGACCTGTGGGCAGCCCGTAGCACCTCCCGCTGGCACAGGTGGAGCACAGGAGCTGCACTGGGGCCAATTACTGCCGCAGGTACATTACCATCTCAGAGTGGGAGCACAGAGTGTGTGTGTAGGGAGAACACAACCTGAGTTAGAGTGAAAGAGCTGGTGGCCACTAGAAAGTAGACCATCATATTTTAGCTTTTATTCAATTTACAACACTGCAAAACAGCAGTGTGTGCAGGCACTTTAGCAAAGCAGACTGTTTAAATAACACCTGGGAGAGGAAATGATGAAAAATACCACTCAGATCTCTCTGTCCACATCCACTCTGATGTTTTGAAAGACACCAGTAGAAGAGAGAAGAGTCTGCTGATGGCTTGTATCTGAGATGATGAGTTTTTTACTTTTAACACCTAAATCATTACATCTTCTGTACTGTGATACATTTGCAACAAGACCTACAATGAGATTGCAAGTCCTATGTGACATCATCACTGGAGTGGCTCCATACGTGTTATATCATATGAAAGAAAGAAAAAGAATTAATA